TCCTCGCGGGGGTGCAGCGCCGCCGCCTCGCGGGCCTCCTTCTCCTTCTGCCGCAGCGCCGCCGCCTTCTTCTCCTGCTCCGCGTGGCTCTTCATGTGCGCGCTGCGGCTCTTCACCTTGTAGAAGACCCTGCGGTGGGCGGGGGGCGTGAGCGGCGCGCCCTGGGTGTGGGGCGCGCCTGGCCCTAAAGCTTTGCTCCCTGTCTCCACCTCCACCCGGAGCCCGCACGACCTCGTCTACAGCGGCCCCTGATGACGTCACTGCCCTGGCAACCGGCCGAGCCAATCAGAGGGCAGGCCGAGCGCTCCAGGGCGCCGCCTCCCACCCCCCGCGCGGACACCTCACCTGCCGCATTTTTTACACGGGAAAGTGTTCTCCTGGTTCTGGGTTTTATTAAACGCCTCCGGTTTTTTCTTCTTCTCTGAGAAAGGCAGTGCCCTTCGCGACTTCCCCGGCCCCTCCCGTGGCTTCTCCGAGGCCTGGGCCCCCGCTGACTCGGACTCGGGGGCGTTGGGCTCGTGGCTCCGCAGGATGAGGATGTCGTTGGCCTGGAGGAAATCGACAGGGAGAGTCGAGTGCCTGGGGGGGCCGGGGCCCCAGAATGCCGGACCTCGGGGAATGTGGGGCCCTGAAAGGCCGCACACTCCCGCCACATGGCCACCTGGCGTCCACGGAAGCCCTCCCACATGCCCACTTCATCTCGGATCCGCTCTAGCCCCACTGTTCAAGCCATCAAGAAAATCAGCTTTGTGCGATGTGACAGGTGCCACGGCCACAGAGGATGGCGGGAAGACCCTGCGCTAGGGGAACTCGGGGCCTAGTGAAGGGTCAGGTGCAGCCGCGCGGGTCGCTCGCTGCGCACGCAGCATGGCAAACACTGGACAGAGGAAGAGCAGAGGGAGAGCGCAGGCGCCAGAGCGGAGAGGACAGGGGAGACAGCCGCGCCGGGCCTCCGCTGGGGGCCCAGATGGCCGCCACAATGTGTCCTGGGGGGACCCTTACAGGAAAGTGTTCACAAAGTCTGCAGGACGCAACAGTGCAGGCACAGAGCACAGAGCCTCTGCTGCAGGCTGCCAAGCTCAGAAAGGAGCAAACAGCTGTGCTCAGCTTACAACATCCTGCAAGCTGTCCGAACTCCCGCCCTTCCCGCTCCTCGGGAGCTCTCTCCAGGCCAAGGGCACCTCTGACCGGAAGTCTTACTTCTTGGCCCCTTACATGGTAGACAGAGCACTGCATCGGGAGTCCAAGGACCTGGGGTGTGACCTCAGGCAAGTCACTTGGCACCAAGTGTCCCACCTGGGCACAGTGCCGGTCACCGTGAGGAACTGAGATCATGCAAGTGGGAGCACTGTGCGGGGAACGTGTGTGAGGGGCCCTGACTGCTCCTGCCAGGGTCTCAGCCCCGCTTCAGACACTGTCAGGCAGAGACGGCCCTCACGGGCTGACCGAGGGCTGAACTGTGGCTCCTGAATGCCTCCTCAGGCTCCCACACACCCACGGGGGTTCACAAAGCCCTTTTCCTCCAAATCTCAGCACCAGAAGCTGCACAGTGCAGAAATAAATAGCAGGCTGGCACCAAGCCGTGCATTAACTGTGCTACCTCCAGCCTCAGTTTCCTCATCTGTAAAACGTGGCTAATAACGGTGCCTACCCTGTCGTCAGGCGCATTAAGCAAGTTAACAGCAGAGTATTCACTGCACTGTGTGCTGCTGTGGTCGGGAGGGCTGCCACCACGCTCCTGCCTGCCCGCCCTCCCTGGGCTCAGGGAGCGGAGGTGGAGACTCACTTACCGCCTCATTGGCCTGGAGGGTCTGCGTGGCTTTCACAGCAGCTGCCCGCCTGCTGCGCTCTCGCCCCTCTTCCTGCTCCCCCTTCTCCTGGGTTTCTGGGACCTCTTCCTCCCCCTCCTTCCTGGGCTCCTTCTCCTCACTCTTGGGCTCCAGCCTCTCTTCACTTGGGGACTCTCTTCTGGGAAGAGGCATCCTTGGGAACTTCTGGGAAGTCTATGGGGGATAAGAACAAGCTCAGCCACACTGAAATAGTGCACTGACTCTGACCCAGACCGGGCTCTTGAGCCCCGACTTGTCCCGCTGGCCTGGTTCAGGTTGCAGCCTTTCCCTGGCTAGTCTCCCTGGGAACAAAAGACAGTCTTAAGACCTGGGAGTCCTCAGGGTGAGGGCTGCGGGAACATGCCAGTACCCACAAGCCCCCTGACCTAGACCTGGAGGACACATCCTCAGGCAGAGTGGTCTCGGGAGCTGGGCAGGCACCTTGCGCTCCGATTCCAAATCATCTCTGTAATACTTCCTGTATCTCCTCTCCCTTTCCACCTGCAAAATGGGGAGCAAACTCCCCCCATCTAGAGCAGCATGTTGCCCATGAGATGGTATTTTAGACAGATACATGGATGTAGAATTAAATGACATTCCCCTTTCAATTCTCTTTCAATCCTGGTTAGGTCAAGTACAAAGTCTCAGGTTGGTATTAATACGTCCTTTATGCTTCTGTAGACCTGATAATTTCTTTAACAAAGAAAGATCAGGCCTCAGTCTCAGAACCCTGGCAGGTAATACAACATCTAACTAGAATTTGGTAAGTGATTGGTTTTCGTATATATTTATTTTTACCAGTTCCTTCTATTTACAGGAAACAATACTGGTTTTCTATTCATGATTGTGATATAGAGCGTCTCTTCTATTTGAGTAAAAGTGGGCCAACATCAAGGAAAATATTAAGTAATAGCGCAAGTGGCGTGTGGACATAAAAATAGTAACGCTGACGCATGGGAGGGTGCAGACAGAGCAGAAATCACAAAGGTGAGGCAAGAATGACTGGCTTGGGCAACAGTGCTAGAGGTCTGCTGAGGAGATGGCCGTAGATGGTGGTCTGAATCCTGTGGGGGAAATTCTCCAATGTTCTGAACCCATATCATGCTTACCTACTGTGACCCCAGCTGTCCACTACAGCAGGAAGCTCGAAGGTCTAGGGCTGGGGACATGAGTTCTGTGGGCTCTGGGGATCGTGCTTCCCTCTGCCTGCCTTCTGCGGACTCCTGAAGAGCTCGGCCCTGCCCCAGACCCTGCCAGGCGCTAGGCAGTTGGGGCTAGAGAAAGAATCACCTTAATATCCACTTCAACCTCTTCTTGGGCTGACTTCTCATCGCTTGTGTCCACGTCCCCAAAGGTAAGAGTCCCATTGCGACCAATTTTCACTTGTTTCTTGTAGGTGTAGTAGAATTCCACACACTGGGCCACGGTCTTGGTCTGGATCTGGTTTGAAGCCAAAACTGAGGTTAGAGTCTGCTGGTTTGGCTCGCCTGCCTGGAGAGCATCCAGCCGTTCTCCTTCCTATGTGTTCCCTTTCACCTTTGGGCCAAAATCTAAACAAAGTAAACCCAGGAAATGTAATCACTTCTGCAGTGCCTACTCTGCCACAAACCTCTGACCAATGAAATTAACCGACGCTTCAGGACTACTGCCAAGAAAGAAAGAAACGCAAGCCACAACCCTGGGGGCCCCAAGGAGATGTGACTGACCTGCAGTGCATACCAGGGAGTCTCACTGTATCTGTTTAAATTTCTTGGAACTTGTTTATGATACCGTGGTTGTATTGAAAAATAACTCTTGTTTTTAGGAAATATGCACTGAAATCTGCTGAGTCACAAGATACTCTGTAACTTTTCCTGATTAGCTAAAATGGAGAAAGGAAAACAGTCCTGTGTTTATGTACCTGTTTTGATGTGGACAGAGAAGCAAAGGGGCCGATACTAATAATAAATCTAAGTGAAGGGTCAACCGGCATTTCTTGTAGTGCTCTTTCCATTTTTCTCAAAAGTTTGAAACTTTTCCAGTGAAAAAGTTAAAGGGAAAAGTCTGGGCATCAACCACAGTCAAAACCAGCGCCAAGCTGGCAAAAGAGATGTGCTTCAGGAATCCGGGCGCAGGGCCACCCCTCTCCAGGGGGCGGTGCCCGACAAGCGAGGTAGAGGATTGTCACACCATGCTAGCTCAGGCAGGACTCAGTGAAAACTTGTAAGAAAGCCCTGGGAAATCCGAAGAGGGGGCAGAAGACCCAAGTCTTGTTCCTAACCCTGCCACAAATGGCTGTGTGGCCTCATGCAAGTCACCCACCTTTCCAGTATCAGTTTTGCTTGTGCAAATATAATGGGATGAGGCAGTTCAGGGACTTCTCAGCCTGAAATTTTAAGCTGTCCCATTTCATAAATCTGTTTGGCCGCTGGGTTTTGTCTCTGGACTGCCTCCCACCCAAGGGTTCCCTTATACTCCCTGCCCTCCCCCGGGCTCCCAGGCTGCTCTCCCTGCTGGGCAAGGAGCTCCTGTCCAGGAGCCCAGGGGCCCTGGGGTCCTCTGTGGGAGGGGCAAACAGACATACTTCATCTCACGGGAATGGCCCAGTCTTACACTTGTCAATCAGACCACTATGCTTTTCCTGACAGTTCTCTTGGATTGTTCATTTGACCACTGATCTGCTCCTTACATGAGGCACCAGGGGCACCTCAGTGAATTACACAGCAAGTACTTTCCTGTGAAATCACCTGATCTGGGGACAGTGTTACTAAAATACAACCAACAACTGTCCTCCTCGCCAAACCCTCATGGGGGAATTTGTCAGCATCCCGTCGAGTCTCCGGGGCCAATCCTGACACCATCTACCACCTAGCGTGGCGCCCTTTTCCCTTGGTGAGCCACACAGCGCACGCCTCCCATGGCCCAGACTTCGTGAGATGGAGCTGGAAGAAGCACAAAGCACTGTCCTCTACCAGCAGAGTACAGGAGCTGAGCAGACCATCCGGGGAACCTAGGCTCGTCAGCTGGGGACTAGAGGGAGGCCCTGGCTCAGCAGGACGCAGGCAGAGGTCACCCAGGGCAGCAACACAGGCACTTGCCGGCTGACGGAGTGACCACCCTTCCACGATCCCCAGGGGAATGGCTCACCTCTTCTCAAAGCCCTCCCTCCCATCCTATCATCCTCCTGTTTTAAGTGTAATACATACCGGGCCCCAGAACACGTTCACATCACCCAAAGCAGAAGGGGCTCAAAACCAGCCAGGGAAAAGGCCAGATCTTTCCTCTTCTAGTAATGCTTAGAAAGCTGTCTCCAAGGCCACTTGAGGACAGTGATCTGACTACTTTTAGGAGGGCGTGGTCAGCAGCTGCAGGTGCCCACAGACAGGAGTCCCAAAGTCACATGTGCAGCTCCCGGCCCTCACCTGCCCAGAAACAGCCCGACTTACCAGCTTCTGCACCAGGAAGAAATCTTTCTTGTAGATGGCAATGCCTTTGTTGAACAGCTTCCTTTCCGCCATCTTCCACTGGTCGGAGCCTGAGGGGCAGAGGGAGCCGGGGCATGAGGCGGGGAGGCCCAGGAGCACTGTGGGCGATTCTGACCAGCCAAGCGTGAGGCCACCCCCACGCGCTCCCTGCAGCACTCAGAGCTGACTCCACACCCTGTCCCTCGGGGCCTCCCTCTCCTTGCGTGTGAAATGGGAGCTAGAATCCAGACCCACCTCACAGGTGTGCCGAGGACAAAATGACAGTGAAGGTGAAGCCCTTGGTACTCTCCGGTATGGACAAAATGTGGCAGTAACAGGGATCAGTAACAGTGGCTTCTAGAATTATGTGATTTGGCCAAAGTCCCTCTTAACGTCCAGAATGGGACGTGTGCTCCGGGGACCAGGTACGTTCCGGGTACCTGAGGCCAATCTGGATGGTATCCAGCTGGGTTTCTGGTCTCACACCATGACCGAGGCTTTTTTGCCTCGATAGGATCCCACCTGCCCACTTCTTTCACCCCTTCCCTCTAGGGAACGGCAAGTCCCTTCAAGAGCCACTCCCGCCCTGGTACCAGATCCCCCATGGCTCTGCCTTCACCCAGGGCTGTGGCTCGGCACCAAGCAGGGCCCTTGCTGCTAGAGACCCCGGGAGCCTCGGGGCACATACGCACCCCCGCCAGGCCCACCTGTGTAGTGATAAGTTGCTAGTGGGTGGTTGAGGGGCCGCACGGGTGGCTTCAGTAGCAGCTTATTCAGAGTTTCCTGGAGGAAGAGGAGAGAAGACAGGGCCGTGGCCGAGGTCAGTGTGGACTGAGCGTGCGAGGCCCAGTCCAGGGCAGAGGGCCTCCTGAGGTCTCAGCGCAGGGTGGGCGCTTCTCTTGCTGCCTGAACTGCTGAGGGACCAGAGGTCTGGGAGGACGGTAGAGGCCCGGCAGGTGGGGCAGCTCAGGAACCGGGGGCTCCTAAGGGAAACGCAGCCCCCAGGCAGGCTGCACGAACAGAGAAGGCCCTCGTTAACAGTCCTGTCTCCCAGGGGGACCCCACTGACCCAGCATCAGGGAAGGCGTGCACAGGAGGACCCTGTATACCAAAATGTAGTTTGGAGCCAGAGTTCCACTGGGCCGAGCTGCTAAACCCCCGCCTCGGTCAGACCCTCCTACACACCTCAGACATGCCAGCTTCCCGGGGGACCTTCCCCAAACCAACAAGACTCTCTTACCAGGATGTCTCCCCTGGACTCGTGCAGACAGTGCAGGGCCAGCTCTTGGTTAGTTCCAGCGCCCGGGAAGATGCTGGAGCAGGCAGCTGTCAGCAGGTCCTCCACTGGATTCACAGGCACACAGGGAGCAGGAGAAGAAACCACGCTCAGCGCCCGTCCGCCCCGTGCGCCCGCCGGCCCGCCTGGCCGCCTCACTCCCAGGCCCGCTCACCTTGCCTCTGCTTCTCCCGGCTGCTCTCCAGGTGCTCCCAGGGCTGCCACACCAGGTCGGCCTTGTGGGGGTCTGCAGCCGCCAGGGCGCGGTCCCGCATCGAGGGGATTTCCGCTTGGAACCGGGTACCCACGTTGATGCGTCTGTAGCAGTGGGAAGTACAAGGGGCGAAGGCCACCCTCACTTCATGGGACGGTTACCTGACCCTCTCTCAGGGGTGGGGCTACGAGGGGCAACTGGCAGGAGCTGGGTGCAGGGAAGGGCTTCTGGGAGACTGAGAGCAGCCAGGCCCCTGATGCAATCAGAAAGGCAAGGCCAGGGCTGGCAGGGGAGCTGCTCTGCATGGGCAGACGGGGAGTCTCCTGGGCCCCAGCCAGCTCTCCTCGGAGAGAAATTCAAGCAGAGCCGCGCCTCTCCTTTCCCTACAACTTCCACACGGACACAGGGAGGGCAGCGGAGCCCAGGGTGCACCGCGGATGTGCAGAGGCCTCACAGTACCCTGCTCTCGGTCCCCGAGCCCACCTGCATGCACGGGGCCCCCCCGGCCACCCTCACACTGCAGGCCCCAGTCAGGCTGCACTTACGGCTCGATGCTCACAGGGGTGGCGTCTCCCATCACAGAGAGGACCGGCGGGGTGACCTCAGCGCTGTCTGTGGGGCAAAGAAGAGGTTGGTAAGTAGAACCTCCCTCCTTTCAGCAAAGCACCCCACCCCTGGGCAGCTGGAAGCCATGCGGGAGTTGCAGCTGTGACACTGAGATCGCTCAGAACTCAAGAACTCGAGTCCCAGCTCTACAACCTGCTGACGGCTCAGGCCTTCAACTAAATATCTGGGGGCCTCAGTTTTCACACCTGCAAAAAGGGACTACTCTGTCTCCTTAACACGGAGGTGGAATAAAATAAAGCACAGAGCTGGGCACTCAGTAAAACATGAGCTAGGCTGGGCGTGGCAGCGCATGGCTGTAATCCCAGCACTGGGGAGGCTGAGGCAGGAGGATATCCATGAGTTTAAGGTCTTTCTTGACTACAAAGTCAGCTCAAGGCCTGCCTAAACTACACAGTGAGACCCTGTCTCAAAAACAAACAAACAAACAAAAAACTCATCAGCCGGTATCATTAGCACTGCTGGTAACACCGACCTCCAGGGCTCACTTCCTGCTCCAGAAGCTCCCACACTACAGACGTCAAACTGTGGTTTTCTAGCAAAGAGGCAGAAACTTGGGACACACTAAGAAAGGGACTTATCGCTCTCTTCTTTCTTCCTCTCTGGATTTTCTACCTTAGTTTCTTCCAAGCTGATTTTCTGATAGGCCCCACAAGAGCAAGCTACTTCCTTAACAAAAAAAAAAAAAACAAAAAAACAAACATACACACACACACAAAATCCACCTTTGCCACCAGCCGTCTGCAACGTGGGATAAACACCCGAAAACCCGCTCACGGAGCTCCCCCTCCGTCTCCACCTCCCCGGCCCCGGCCGGGACCCCATCCTCACAGACCTGACGGCGGCCCCGCTCTCCCCGCCCAGCCCCACCTTGGGAGCCTGGAGGGCCCTGCCCGCCCCTCCCCCTCCACAGCCGCCTCGCTCCAGCCCCACCCTGCCAGCCCTCTGCAGGCCCGGGGCTCGGTCACCTTCACCCACACCGCCTCTGCTTTTCGCTCTCCGGCCTTTGGGTCAACTCCCTGAGGACCCCGCACTGCGCTTTCTCCAGAACAGATCACGGTGCCCCACACACTGCTGGGGGCCCAGGTCAAGGCTGCGCCCCCAGGAGCTCGGGAAGGACTGGTGGCCGCACTGCCCGCTTCCTGGCTGCCAGCCTGCCCTCCCTGTCCGCGGTGACTCCCTGCGCAGCCCAGTCAGGGGCGAAGCTTCCCGGGCGACCATAAAGGGGTCAGCAGTCAGCAGTCCGCGCAGGGCAGGCCTTTGCCCACCTCAGACAGCAGGGGGCACCCGAGAGCCGCGCCACGGTGCGTCCCGCCGCTGAGCCCCGAGGGCGGCCCGCTCCTCCGCGACCTTCCGCCCGCTGGGGGCAGGACTGTCCCGCCCCGGCCCCGGGGGAGACGCTCCTCGGTGAACGGCCGCATGCCAGAGGCCCAGGAGACCAGACCCGTACGAACACCCGGCAAGGGCCTGGCCGCAGGACACCGCCGATCAGCCGAACAGCGGCGGCTGCAGCATCAGCCAGGGCCCTGATCCCCTCCGACCCTCCGATCGCTGGGGAAACTGAGGCCCGGGAGCTCAGGTCCTCGCGCAGGCGGTGCGACCGCAGACGGCAGAGCAGGGACCTGAACGTCAGGCCGCTCCGTGCCGGGACGACCTCCTCTTCCCAGGAGGCGCAGGGTCCCCTCTCCCGGGCAGGGCCTCCCGCCCCACTCCGGCAACCGCGAGCGAGGCCGCCCTGCGCAGCCCCGGCCGCACACCCGGCCGACGAGGAGGGGTCACTCACTCGAGCGGAGCAGCGTGCGATGGGCGCTCTTTGGCGTGACGGGAGGAGGGGCCGGGATGCTGCTGGTGGATATGATGGCGTTGAAGTAGAGGCCGGAGCCTTCCCGCACCGGGCTAAGGATGGGCGGCGGCGTGTAGGGCGGCAGCTCGAAGCTGCGCTCCGAGGGGTGGTCAGCCAGGCGCACGGGCGAGCGCAGGTGGCTTTGGTAGGGCGTGATGTTGGAGTACACGGCGGGGGCGATGAAAGTGCCCGCCTTGGTGGGGATGATCAGGGGCTCGGGCCGAGGCCGCTGCTTTGGTTTGCGCACGGAGGGCTCCCCCTCCAACTTGACGGTCAGGTCCTCGGCCTGGAGAAGGAAACAGAGCAGGGCGGGCTCAGCCCCCGAGGCTCAGGGAGCCCGAAGTCCTGACCGCAGCCCGCCGGGCTCACGCGTGGGGCTGCCTGCCTGCCCGCCCACCGCACGCACCCAGCCGGGCCTGAAAGGAGGGCAGGCCCAAAAGCCCCTCCACTGTCTCCTCTCCGGCAGAGCTCAGCGCATCTTTTCTAGGAAGGGTGGGAGAGTAAATGTTTAGGCTCTGTGGCTCGCGGGAGGTCCTGCTCTATCTTTTTTCCCTTTTCCCTCTGAAAAACCCCGCAAAAATGCAGAAACTATGCAGAGCTCTGGGTTTGGCCCCCGGGCCACAGTCCCTCGCACCGTTGCACAATGCAGCAGGGCAGGAGGACCCAGCGAGGGGTGGTGCTGGATGGCTTGGGTTTGGATCTATCACCACTTCAAATTACAGAATTTCTGTGTGCATCTCAAGAAAAAAAAAGAAAAAAGCTAGGGCTTGAACCCAGGGCCTCACGCTGATCTACATCCCTAGCCTGCTCTTCTTTTTATTTTGAGACAGGATCTAAGTTGCTTAAATTGCCTAGTTTGGGTTCAGACTCGTGATCCTCCTGCCTCAGCCCCCAGAGTACTGGGATTAGAGGTGGGTGCCACCTCACCCAGCCCCACGCATCTTCACTTTTACCAGGAAACTAGTCCGTGCCTACGTAATGCAGGAGCTACACAGACTAAGTGAAATAATAGATGGAAATCAATGAGAATACTACCTAGCACATAGTAATTACTCAGTAAATACTGCTGCTAGCACTACCGAAACCCCAGTCTCTGGGTTAGATGGACGCCTCTCCTGTGGGCCAAGACCCAAGCTGGGGAACGGATCGCAGAGTGGAACAGGAGAAGGAAGCTCTGAGCACGCAGACTTTTGCTCTCTGAATGTTAGATCTGCAGCGAGCCGCCCGGCCCACTCACACTGTCAGAAGTTAGCCCTCCGGCCTCGTGCTTCTCCCTGAGTGGAGCACGGTACGACTGTGAGGGAACGGAGCCCTCTCCTGCTCCATCCTTATGGTCTCAAAAGGGCAGAGAACAGAGCCCTCGGGGGTGAGCGACACCCACAGCCGCTCCGGCTACAGAGTACAGCAGGTGAGGCTGGCCATGGTGCCCGCTTGGGCCTGGGAGCAACGTCAGACCCCGCTACCCTCTGATGCTCCAGCCCCCAAAACACCTCCCGCAGAAGGCCTGGCCAGGACCTTTACCCCTGTGTGCCCTCTTTCACAGATTAGGACGGAAGGAGAAGGTTCATTCTTCTGCCTGTAGAAGAGCAATGATGATTACACAAGAAAGAAAAAGACAGGAGAGCTAAAGCAGCCCCCCAGCTTTCTCGCCAAGAAACTCCATAAAAACTTAGCCAGCTGTAACTGGTTGTAGTTTTATAATGAAGGATTTAAATTCCTCTGAATATCTGACAAATTCTTTGTGTGATAATGGTAATGAGATTACGTTAAAAAGGAAAAGAAACAAAGAGACCATATGTATGTATCTTATCTTACTCAGATAAAAACTGAAGTGTTTATGAATGGAATGATACAGTGTTTGGGTTGTGCCTCAGAATAATCCAGGAGTGCAGAATAGGCACAGATGAAACAAGACGGGTTGCATCTTGATATGACAGTTGGTGACAGTGAAACACTCACTCATTTTATAAATGTCTGGAAATGGCTATGATACAAAGAAAAATAACTGAACGAAGAACAACTAAATGTCCCCCAAAAGCCTAGTAAAAACCCTCACAGACAGGGACTCAGGAGATGCAAATTCCAGAGCTAGCTCGTCCGCTACCTTACTACAGGACTCTAGGTCAGCGCTCAGGCTTGCAAAGGACGTTGTTTTTGTCTTCAGCACTGCCACTCTCAGGGGAAACTGCCCAGCCTCCGGCCTCTACACCACAAGCTTTTCCCAAGATCCCAGAGAGGAGATCACCTTGGGTTAATTATCTCACAATAAGGGAGCTCCTCCTCCTGTTACAGAGGCAAGGCACGCAGGCCAACTCTTCATCTGAGAACCAGAAAATCTGAACTCAATGTAAAAGCACATCCCTGAAGGTAGCAAAGAGCAAACGGCCTGGCCAGGAGAAGGGGGCGGGGGTGAAGCAGGCAGCTCAGATGAGCCCATCACTGGGGCTGCCTTCTCCCTAGAAGTGGGCGCCATTACTAGAAGAGGTGATCAAGAGGCTGAGGAACTGAGCAGAACTTTGAACAAATTCAAGGGCCAACACAATAAAGACTGGAGTTTGGGGCTCACCAAGGAAAAAGTCTGGTGAACACCCCGGCTTCAGACCAGGACTTCAAAGGGCTTACACTTCAGAATTGAGGTGCATGGGAGCAGTCTAGTTCTCACGTGGAATAAGGCCCAGATTCAAGTCATCCCATTTCTGTCTTTGATTAAGTAAAAGTGATTCAGGATTGCTGGTGCCCTTTGGTACCCATCAGAAGTGAAGATAAAATCTCTAGAGAAAATATTATCTAGAGCCTTTAATTTCCTTAATGCTTAAAAAAAATTCACACTTTGGGTAAATTGGTGGGACACACTTTTGTGTTTCGGGGTTGTGGTTGTGTGTGTGTGTGTGTGTACATGCACACACACGCATGCACCTTCCAGGTCAGTGTAGAACCTGCTCACGATGCCACGGGTTCTGACCTGGGAAATATGACAAATAAGGACAGAGCTCCTCTAGAAGATGAGCTATTACAGAAGGCTTGAAAACGTTATCCAAGGTGGGGAGATGATAAATGAACAATACTGGTTTTTTTGTTTTGTTTTTTGGTACCGGAAATCGAACTCAGGACTTTGCACTTGCCAGGCAGGAGCTTGTGCCACTGAGCAAAACCCCCGGCTAAAAGAATAATACTAGATGAAGGAAGATATATCTATATTTTCTAGAAAAGTACTGAATTAACTTTTGCAGGGCATCCAGTATTAGGATCACAGGGAAAGAGGCGGCATTAAGTGGAGCTTTGCTGGGGGCTGGTGCAGGGCGCTTGGGAACCAGTGCACACCTCGTCCCAACCTCGCTGTGGGGACAGAAGCAATCAGAGATGGGGAGAAGGCCTTGTGGAACCAAAGTCACACAGCCCAGCAATTCAATCATTTTTCATATGCAACACCTGATGTCATGGCTTGAGGTGGTCTTTTCCCACCTGCTGGTGGTTTAGTCCTTGGTGTGGCTGTGGTAAAGTGATCGGGCCTTTAAGAGACAGGGCCTAGTCCAAGGTGATTATGGCATGGGGGCACTGACCTTGGGAGAGATTAACGCTGGTCTCCGAGGAAGTCAGTTCTCACAAGAACAAGTTGTTACAGAAGAGCAAGCCCGGCCTTGGGATCCCTCTCACTTCCTCTCTTGCTACGTGACAGCTCTCTCTCTTGCACATGTTCCAGCCATGATGCTATCTGCCATGTTGTGATGCAGCCTAAGGGACCCTCACCGAGGCTGAACAGAGGGACTACCCAACCTGAGACTTTCAGTCTGAGCAACTGGGAGCTAAAGAAGCATCCAGCTTCAGGTACTGTATTACAGTGACAGGAAATGGGTGGATATACTTGACTTTCAATAAAAAATAACGACTTACAAGAAAACAAGATGTGACTTAATTGTTTTGTTTTTGTTTATTTTGTTTTTGGTTTTCTTTCGGTACCAAGAATCGAACTCACGACTTGCGCTTACCAGGCAGGCGCTTTGCTGCTGAGCTAAATACCCAGCCCCAAGATGTGACTAAAACTGAAGAACAGGTAACTAAAACAGACTGATGTCAATGGTGTCATTTGAAATAAACATTCAGGAGAATAAGAATTTACGCAGTGAAATAAAAGGCAAGGTTGAGAATTTCATGAAAGAACTAGAAACTCTGAAAATGAACCAAATAGAAATCTGGGAATTAAAAAGGTAAAATAACTGAAAATAGGAACTCAATGAAGTTTTAACAACATAGTAAACATAGCTGAAGAGATAACCAGTGAACTGAAAGATCAGACTGATAAAACAGAAAATACAGGAAACTGTGCCAGATGTAAAGGGGATATGGGATAAAGGCCTAATAAACATAACACGGAGTTTCACAGGAAAGAAGAAATGGAAAAGAAATTTTCAAGGCACACTAGAAACTCTTAAGGAAAAAAAAAAAAAAAAACTCTAAAAAACATATATAGGGACAACAGCAAAACTGCTAAAAATCAAAGGCTCTTTTTTTACCAAGCAAGCAAAATACACCCAAATCTTGAAAGCAACAACATAAAAAGCCATCTTACATTTAAACAACACTATAGCTTTCAATAATTTTTTAACACTGCAAGAACAATAAAAGCCTGAGACAATAGAATGACGTCCTTTTTTTTCTTTGCTTTCTGAGACAGGGTCTTCCTATGCAGTTCAGGCTAGCGTTGAGCTCACTTTGTGGCCTAGAACTCACAACAATCCTCCTGCCTCAGCCTCCCCAGTGCTGGGATTACAGGCATGTGCCACCACGCCCGGCTAGAATGACATCTTTCAAGTGCCAAAAAGAAAATAACTACAAATGTAGAATTCACCACTTAGCAGTTACCCCTCAAAAATGATCAAATGAAAACACTTTCAAATAACCAAAGATGAATAAGAGCCGTTACTCACAGATTCAAACCAGAAACACTAATGGATGCCCTTCAAAGCAGCATAGAAATGGTCCAAGCTAAGAGAAGAAATGAACAACAACAAAAATGGTAGGGTAAATCTAAATTAAATAACATCCAAATAACACAAAAATGTCATCATGTCCTGTTGATGTTAAGTGAAAATGCTTGGCAATAATTCTACAAGTCGGGGCTGGGGATTTAGCTCAGTGGCACAGCGCCTGCCTGGCAAGCGCAAGGTCGTGAGTTTGATTCCTGGTACTGGAAAAAAACAAAAGCAGAACAAAACAAAACAAAAAAATTCTACAAGTCAGTGTAGCTCAGTGGAACATAAAATTGAGCCTTGTAAGAACCCTGTATATCCAGGAAGAGGTAAAAATTCTAGCTTACATTAGATTTCAATAAGTCAAGGATGCACTTTCAATCTCTAGCAGCCTTCTCAACCAGGGAAGTAAGCCCAAGTCATAAGGCCTTCACTGTGTATAGGTCCACTTGTATCTTACACATCTCAGATGGTACCTAGCCACACAGCATCCTTCAGAGAGTTCAGAAAATAGTCACTCAAATCCCTTTCCACCAGGTTGGGTTCTTCTGCAGATATCTAGGTTAGAGACAGCTACAGTGATCACTACAGAGAAATACTTAAGTACACATCTAATAAATTAACAAGTGAGAAATGGAATATCGGGGGAGGGAGGGGAAAAGGGGCACAGCACAGGACAGGCAGGAGGGGATGGACAGAAAGGTAATTACACGGCAGATCTCAGCCCAGGTGTATCAGTAACAGAGCAGTGGGATCTTTAAAAGTAAAACTCATAGAAGCAGAAAGTAGAATGGAGATCACCAAGGCCTGGAGCTTGCAGTAGAGGCTGGGAAGCTGCTGGTCCGAGGAAATGTAATTTTAGTTAGGAGGAATAAGTTCAGTTAGTGTACAACACGGGAATTTTCATTAATGACAGTGTATTGTATACTCAGAAACTGCTAAGGGCAATTCTGAAATGTTCTCAACACACTAAGTATACAGAGCACACGCCTGTAATCTCAGCACTCTCAGAGGTTCAGGCAGGAGAACCAAAAGTTCAAACCCAACCCAGACAGCTTAGCAAAACCCTGTCTCAAACTTTAAAAAAAAAAAAAAATTTTAAGGGCTGTCGCTCAAGCAAAGGCCCTAAAATCCTAATATTGGCAGGGGGCGGAGAGTATCTGAGGTCATGAATATGTTAATTAGCTTGATTTCGCCATTCGCAGTATATAACCTGTATCAAAATATCATCCTGTATGTCATACACACAATTTTATTAGTAAATAAATAGAAAAGTGTAAACTGTACTGATGTTCTAATTAGAAGACAAAAGTTGTTACACTCTAACAACTTGGGTTGTTAAACCCCAATTGTATACCACTTTGAAAATATTCCTTAAGTGAAGAACACAGAAAAAAATGAAAGTAAAAGGATGGAAAAAGATACACCAGGCAGACACTAAGCAAAAGAAAGTTAAGTATCAGACAAAGTAGACTTTAAAGGTCACAGAGGATTAAAGATAAAAAAGAAAGCTTCCATAACAATACAGCATCTAGCCCAGTTCTAAATGAGAACCTATCTAATATTACTGCCACAAAACAATGATATGAGTAAAAGAAAAAAATCGGTGAACCCTCAATCCTGGTGGGAGATTTTAAGGTACACATCCCAGTAGCATCCCCGTAGCATAGGGCCTTGGACCACTAGAAACCAGTCAAAATTTGCTGACCCCAAACAAAAGAGATTCACACATGCTACGCTTTCCCAGATGGGCTCAATTTCAAGTACAAACGTGATTCATCCTCCATCCAGAAGTTTGGTTTAGAAAATAAAAATATTATCGCCACAGGTTCCCTGGAACCCTCTGACACTGCCTTGTCCTCCTGCTTCCCAGGGGGTCCTGGGCCGGGGGAGCACATATGCCCTGGAGGGGTTCGGAAAAGGAGCCTCTCACCTGAGCAGGCGCGTCTGTTCCCGGGATCCGGGTGGACCGCCTGCGGGTGACGATAACTGATGCCTTGTGCTCAGTGGGGTGCTGTTCCAGGTCCCTCCCGTCTTCATCAACACCTCCAACCTGGGCCACCTCGGTTGGGTCCACGGCCCGAACAGGCACCGACACTGGGATGATGAGGGGGACCAGCGCAGGGTCTTCTCGTGCCCGCTTGGCCGCCAAGGATGGCTCAGAAAACTCCACCCCGCACTTGGTAGTTGAGGTCAGCACGCTTTTCCGCTTCTCCTCAGAACAGTTGGCATCCTGGAGAAAAAGGGGTTTGAGGGGAAGAGAGAGATCTGAAAGATAAGTCCTGATTTGCTGGACTATTTAATCCAGGGACTCAAACATCCACAGCAGATCCCACTCTTGTCAACCTGGCCTGTCCTGGACCACCTCTCCTGGAGCTGGGGGTCCCCAGAAACCCATCTCAGGCCACAGGAGGCTCCCGAACATTTCACTCGGTCTGCATAGTGCGGGGCGTGTTAAATATTTTTTTTTAATCTCTGCAAAACAAAGTTAGCAAGGAAGCCGTGGCAAGGCAAAGGGTCATTTTTGCACAGCTTTCTCCGTCGGTACCCGGAAGGAGTGGAGCCTGGCTGTCCTTAAACACAGGACAAACTCCGCGTCCCCTCACGTATCAGCCTGGCCCTGAAGGCATCGGCAGGGGGACTTGTGGCGGGAGAAAGGCCAACGGCGGCTCTGGGGTCAGACTCAAGGCGTCCGCTGCAGCGGCGCGACCCTGGGAAAACCCACTCGGGGCTTCTCATCAGAAGACAGGAACAAAAGCCAGAGCCCTCTTTGCTGGGTTTGATGATAAATTATTTGCGCTCCGGTATAAAAAACTCCAAGCACAACACAGTGCACTTGGCTATTTATTCTTCCTTCCTATCGCTATTAAATTCCTTAAACACAAACTTTATTGCAGTGTAACTTACATACAATAAACAGATCTATTTTAAATTACACTCCGATAACTTTGACAAATGCGATCACTGTGTAACCACCACCACCGCATCTTGCCTTGCAGCATACCGATCTGGAAATGGCCCTTTGTCCCCCACTCAATCCTCCGGTCCCCACACTGCTCTGCCTGCCAGCTCTGTGAGTATAAACCTCGGCTTGCCCTCAGGTACAGAGGCCCTGTGTAGGGTTTCTCTGCGTGTAGAGGTCCCCAACTTCCCTTCAGTGAACTGAACACACTGCCGTCGTGCGCCTAGTGGCACGGCTCCCTTTGCCCCAGCCCCTGCCAGTCTGGCCCCCAACGCTCATCTCACCTTTGTGCTCTGCAGCGAGGCCAGCTCCACCGCCTTCTGAGCCAGGGTCAGCAAATTGGCCTCCTGGGATGCCCGGCGCCTCCGTCTTGTGCTCTGGATCACGCCCCCTCGTAGCACCTGCCCACAGTCCCCTGTGCCTCCTGCCCTCAGGCCCTCCTCCGTACCCATGGCGGGAGCCTCCCGTTCCCGACCGTTGGGTGCCAGTCTCTCCCCGTCGGACAGCAGCTGGGACTCTCGCAGTTCCATTGGGAATCCCAGGGCTTCCGGATGGGGCTGCCCTAGGGAGCCGGGAGGCGGGTGCTGCAGGGGCCAATGATGAAGGAACAGATTGCCCGCGGGCTCCTGCCCAGGTTGGGCGCCAACCCCATCCAGGGCGGTGGGAGGCAGGATCCCCTCCTTGGAGAGGCGGCGGGAACGGCGGGGAAAGGCGATCTGGGGCTGAGGTAGCACAGGCTGCGGGGCCGCCTCCTGCAGGAGGGCCTTGCGCAGTTCTGGGTTCATGTCTGGGTTGTGAGGGAAGGGGTAAGGGGCCATGCTGTGGTGCGTCAGGTGGGCCTGCCCCAGGGGCCCTGCTGGCGGCAGGCCAAAGTCCTGGGGCTGCTGGGAGGGCGGCTGCTGCATGGGGTAGAAGTTGTCGAAGAGCTGCATCTGGGGCAGGGCGGCCTGCTGCTGCTGCTGCTGCTGCTGCTGCTGCTTCTGTGGGGGGAAGGCAGCAGCAGGGTTGGGGGGCGGCGGGCCCTGCCGGAAGACCTGCCGGTTCACCTGGTGGCCGAATGCCAGCTGGAAGGGCTGCAGGGGCAGTGTCTGGTTTGGGGGTTTCTTGGCTGCGTGGAAAGAGTTCAGGGGCACCTGAGGCTGCCCCCCCTCCAGCTGCACTTTCTGTGGCATCATGGGCCGCACTGCATTTCCGTAGCGGTCCAGCTGCGCGGCCCCAGCTTTGTCCCGCTTCAGCGCCTCGGGGTGGTTATAGTAGGCAGAGGCCCCCACACCGGGATGAGGGCTCCCCTTGGGTCCCCCGTACAGGGACAGGCGGTTCCATGTGGAATGAGGCGGCGGCTGGCCAGGCTGCTGCTGCCAGCCGCTGTCACTGACGCCCCCACCTGCTCCACGGTCCGGGCCCCGTCCTGGAGCCATCACGGAGTTGGGCCACTTCACCGAGCCCACTTGCTGGGACAGCATGGCTGCTGGGGTCCGCTCCGACCCATACACGACAGAGTTCAGCAGGGCCAGGCTGCTGGGAGGCGGCAGCTCCGCGGGCTGCGCGGTGGAGGCGGCCCCCGCCGGACCCTCGAGCCCTCCATACTGCTCCTCCTTCGCGCGGAGGGGCTGCGGGGGCGCCTGCAGGGGCGGCTGCTCTTTGGGAGCTGGCTCCTGCTCCACGAAGAGGCAGCGTTTGCGCTTGCTCTGAGCCTTGGGCTGGGCCTGGAGGTTCATGGTGCGGCCAGCTGAGCCCCAGCAGCGACAGCTGATTCACCAGCTGCCCATTCCCTGGGAAGAGCTCCTGCTGGAAGCCTGGTCCCGGCACCAGAGAGGACACGGCGGGGGCAGAGGAAGACGCTGGGCAGCGGAGTCGGCCACGGGAGAGACCTGCTCTTCCTCCCTCCTCCAGCACGGCTCTCGGGCGCAGCTACTCCTCCCAGGGCATGATGCTCCACGGGGTCCTGGAGGCTGCAGAGGGGAGAGCAGTGACAGCGTCAGCTACAGACCCCTGGCGTCCACACCCCAGCGCCCCGTGGTTTCGCAGTAGCACTGGTGACAGAGGAGCCGGGACCCACAGGGGAGCTGCTAGGAAGGCAGCAGACTCCGTAGCGTCTCTGAGGTCCTCCGTCACTCCGTCCCACCCCTTCCTGGTTAGGCTCCAGAAGGGCTGCGTTTGGTTGTGTAATCTGTGCACTGCACCAGGGCACACAGGGAGGGGGCAGGGGGCTGACATCCCGCCGAAGGCCCTGAGGGAAAAGGCTGCACCGGCCCTCTCCTCCTCTTAACCCCGGCCCCAGCTCACTGGGTGGTCAGGCTGGGTCCTCCTTGCACATCTGTCTATGTCACAGCTTCCCACCAGAGCCAGACTGCGCCTCCTGAGATTCCCAGCACACCCGGGACACAGGAAGTGGGAAGGACAGAGTGCATTCCCAGCACGGCCGCCCCTCCCGCACAGCCCTGCCAGGCCTTCTAAGAGTGCAGAGCCCAGAGCCAGGCTCACAGCGGCCTGGAGGTGAGGCCCCGCCCCTGGGGAGAGCTGGTGGGTGGGGCTCTGGCTACCAGTCTTTCTCAACTAGCACAGAACCTGTTTTGCAGCCCTGGCTGGCTAGAGGCCCAATTTAGCCCAGTATCAGGTCGGCAGCTGCGGGTGCCCCCACCCCAAATGCTAGAGACCCTGGCACGGTAGGCAAATAGTCTACGTTGGATATGAGGGGTGCGGGTTGTTAGAACTTAAGTCTAGAAGGTTTCTCCATGAGGTCGTGAGGACAGCGCTCACCGTTTTTTGTTTGATAACTTGATGGGGTGGGGGCATGCTAGGGATGGAACCCAGGGCCTGAAAACAGCTAATCACATGCTCCACCAAGACACACCCCAGCTCCCTCTAACTTGATATTTTTTTAAAAGGGTAGCTCTACTGATCCAGCTACAGAACAGAATCTGGGTCTCTATTTTATAATTGACACAACTGCTTGCACGTATTTTTTCTTTTCTTCAGAAAGACTTATTCTTTCTTCAGAAAGATTTTTTGTTTGTCTCAGTTTGACTTTTTTTTTTTTTTTTTTTTTTTTGGTGGTACCAAGAATTGATCTCTTGACCTCACGCTTGCCAGGCAGACACTGCACCACTGAGCTATATCCCCGGCCTGAGTTTTGTTTCTGTTTTTTCTTTCCGCCCTGGGAAGGTGGTAAGGGTGGGAGAGTGGGTCACTTGGGAGTGCCAAAGGAACACTCTGGTCCTGGGTCACTAGGACTGGGAGGGGACAGGTGGACCGTCAGCTCAGGTTGCTGTGGAGAATAAATCTGCAGGTCCAGGTGACCTTAGTCCCTGAATGCTCCAGGTCATCGTTAGCAGGAAACCAGCAGAGGGCAGGAGCTAAGCGGGTACAAGGCCCGTCTGCACCAATGCTGCCCTGCCCCTGGGCCGGCGCTATCACTCCTCTGCACGTTTCCGCAGCTCCCGCCCTGTTCCCAGGCTGCCAGGCCGCCAGCCTCCCGGCGTGACTCACGGGAGGCCCCTCCTCGTCTTTCACTTTCACCCAGCACCCAGAAGGAGAGTAACTTCCTCCTCCATTTCCTTCCTCGGCTCCGGCCCGAAGGTGTGAGAGACCCTCCTGGTGTGCAGTCCCTGTCTTTCACTTATGGAATTTTCCAAGAGGGAGGGAGAGGAGACCAGCAGAACATTCAGCAGGAGGGGGATTTGAGGAAGAAGTGAGAGCTAGGGGCCGGAGAAACAACCTTGAACAAACTCCTTCTCTTGCTTTTAAATTCTCTTTCCCTGACAGCCAACTCAACTCTTAAGCCGGCCCCACACTGAAAGCGTCTCTGTGAGGCCACAGGGTGGGACGGCTGGCTCTGCCTCTCTGCAGGAGGCTCCAGCCCAGCGAGCTGGAAGGACAGCGTGCATCTGCAGAAGCAAGGCGCGAAGGCATGGCCGGGAGCCCAGGGGGCCCACGCGCCTCCAGGGGCTCGCCGCAAGCTCTGGGGCGCTCACGTGCTCCACGCCTCCCCCGTCACAGCCCTGTCGCCTTGTGAGCCCCAGCACAGGACTGGGCCTGAAGCGAGGGGTGGCCACGTGGGGCAGGCCCACGTCGGGGAGGCCCATGTGGCAGGCTGGCCTGGGCGTACAGGCCACGAATGCTTCAGGGAGGGGCACTGGTAGGGGAGTGGACACTCAGTGCCTGGTACAGCGTTTGGGGGAGACCTGCGCAGGGAGGTGAGTGGGGCTCCAGGGTTGCGCTGCTCCCGCTTGGGAAAGGGGCTGGAAGCCAGGTGCAGGCCCAGAGGGGCGGGGCTCCGCAGCGGGCCTGCCACTCACAGCCCTGCAGTCAAGAGGGCCATCACCCAGGACACCACAGTAGGTTTCTGCAACTCAGAGCAAATCGGGGGCCTGGCTTAGGGGAGGCTGGATCAACCCAACAGCTTCCTGCGGCAGGGGCCTCCTGGCACCGCCACTTAGGAGCTCAGAGAATCAGGGACAGAGATACTGGCCTGGGTCCCCCGAGAAGAAAGGTCACCATCTGAGGGGTGAGAAGAGTGGAAGATGCCTGGGACCCCGGGCAGGGAGGGCAGGACCACCGAGGCCGAGGGCCCTGAGCAGCGGCAGCAGTAATAACAGCGCGCCTGTGCCCGGGGGTCCTCAGTGCTTTGCATTCTTTTTCATTCCCAGGACCACTTCCTAAGGCAAGCATTGCTCTTTTACCTCCACTTTGTAGAGGGGCTGAGCAACCCGCCCTGGTCATACATACTCAGGTCTCAGAGCTAGCACTTAAAGGCAGGTATGTCCCTCCCCAGGACCAAACTCTGACTCCTCAACCCACAAGCACCACGACGACCCCAGCTCTGCCGTGCACACCTTTCCACAGCTCACCGCCCAAACACAGCGGGGACGCTCCCCTGCCCGGAAGCAGGGGCTGGGCCACACTCCAGAGGGGCCAGAGGCCTGTGAGGTCCAGCTGCAGAGCGCCGGAGACAACACCCCCCACACTCCCCGGGCCTGGGTTGTCCCACCCCTGCAACCCTGCCCCTGTTCTGGTTGCTGCTGGTGGGGCCCTCCAGCTGTGGAGCCCACTGTACCTCCCAGCCTGCAACTTGGGGACAGCACTCAGCCACTTCCTCCACCACTTCCTCCACGTCTCCTGCCCTCCCCCACTCCTCCGTCCCTCAGGTGGAAGTCAGCGGGGCCTTCCTCACAGCAAGGAACAGCAAGGAAGCCACCTTCTCCGGAGGCTGCCGGCCTATGACCCCGCCAAGCTCGAGGGGCGGTGAAGGGGAAACAGGAGAAACCCCCACAGGCAGCGGGCCCCTGGGACCTCCTGCAGGGCCTCTGACAACGGATGCAAGCGCTGGATGCAAGCGCTCGGTAAAAGGAAACCCACAGCACCGCGGCCCCACTCCTGCAGCCGTCTTGCTCCTGGGACTGACTGTCACGCTCTCTCCTCAGCTTTCCTTTCTCCAGGCTTCTCCGCTGCAACCAGCCCTCGCCCAGCGCCACGGGTCGGGCTGCAAGCGGGAGAGAGACCCTATCGGCGGATCAGGACCTGTGAGGCTTCCAAGAAAACATGTAGTGAGAAGCACTTTCTCTACAGAAGACAGTAGTGTGGGCCAAGGACAGGCAGCAGCCCTGACCCCAAAAGCAGCTTCTGCAGACACAGGAGGAGAAGGTGCTGGAAGGCCTGAGGTACTCTGTGCTCCGGCCACCTCGCTCCGCAAGGACGGCGGCTCCAACACATCCAGGTCCCCAAGTTCCATCAGCAACCCAGCTGCATGCCCATCGCTGGCCCACCCAGGAGAGCTCACCACAGACAGGAGGCCGGACTGTGGCTGCTGAGGGGGAGGCCACTGGCCAGCCACCAGGGACATTCATGTGTTCATGAAGAAGGTCACACAGGCCAGGGAGGATAGGATGCGCACAGCTCGACCCCAGTGGTCACGGCGCTCAGCGCTGACCTGAGGGTGAGGGCTGACTGCAGAACACCCGGCTCTTGGAGACCTACGCTCCAAGCTCTGCTCTTAAACCTGGGCCACCCAAGGGCTACCAACTTAACACTAGGAAGCAGGGGAGCCGAAGCCCATGCATCGCCCCCGAAGGACAACAGACCCCATAAACGCCCCACCTCACTCACAAGTCCCTGCAGACTCTGGCTCAGGACACCTCTCCCAGCGTGCCCCACGTGTGCTGTGCGGTCGGGGCCTGAGACACGCTGTTCCTGCTTTGCTTCTAGTCTCCCAGCGAGATGGATCACGGCCTGCGAGACCTCCCCATCCTTCCGGTCTCAGACACTGCCTCCTCTGGCAAGCTCCCCTGACCCCGAGGCTGAGATAGGAACTGCACAGTGAGGTCATCACACCACCTGCCCGAACCCCCACATGCTCAGCACAGGGTCCCCGGTGCCTGCTTCCTCACCCCAGCAGAAGGTGCAGAGTGTGCAGACTTTGACACTTCACCTGCAGGTGCTGCAAGAATGCTCCTGCAAGACGGCAACCAAGGTGAGCTAGAGCAAGCCCGGGCAGAGACGCTGCTCACAGCCAGGTGTCCAGCCTGGGCCCCTGCCTGGTCCTGAGGCTAATCTCCCTCCCTCCCGCCCAGAAGCACAGCAGAGCTCTCCAGGAGGCTGAGATGACATGAAAAGGCCTAGCCTCACGACCGCACCCCACTTCAGAGCCCAAGCCCTTTCCAACAGCGGTGAATACACGTCTTTCCCCAGTGGCTGGCCCCTGAGCCACCGTACCCAGACCACCTCTAGAAGTACCAGCGTCCCACCCCTGCCAGACCATGACCAAGAACAGAGCCTGGGGGTCTCTTTACCTCATGCCCTGACATGGCTGGGCTGGGACTCAAGACACCAAGGCGGGGGTATGCCTATAATCCCAGCTACTCAGGAGGCTGAGGCAGGAGGATGGCAAGTTTGAGGCCAGCCTGGGCAACCTATCGACACCAGGTCTCAAAATTTGAAAAAGAAGAAACAGAAG